AGTAATCCAAGGCCACGACATGCTGCTGAGGCCTTCGAGACTGCATCGCCAGTCGCGAAACCTCCCACGGCCCACAGAGCACTATCACTGACTACCTGGTTCAACTCACCAATTGAGGGCTTGGATCCAACTATATACTAAACAAATCCTATTAGTGAAGTACTCCCATAATTGTGACAAAAACTTACCAAAGCAGGTACATTTTGATCAGGCTTTTAAGGCCTCTAATTTTTCTTAGTATTAGTCTACATTATCAGTCTTCAATGGAAAAGAAATTTGCTTTTATAAAAATATATTTTGAGCTACAAATGTTCCTATTCTATTTTTCTTAAAACAGTATTAATATACAATATAGCCATATTGAGAAGGCTAAGGAATAAAAGTCTACAGCTGACAAGAGCTTTCTGAAACCATCCACTTTTACTCTAGGCTAGTTTCCAGTAATCTCAGAAAGTTGGTGACTTAATCATTACTGGTGCGTAAATGAAAGATAGGGATCTCACATTCTTCCTTGACACCCTATTTCTAGTGTTTCATCATGGTTGCTGTATCTAATCAAAGTTTTTCTTGTCTTGAATCAGTTAATTTCCTCTTGTTTTGTTCGTGATAAATGATTCAGGACAGGCAATTAGCTTCCTTAGTCATGATGAGGACTAGATCCAGGGCTTGGAGAATCAAAGACTGGCAGTTTGTCCCAAGTACAACAGAGAAGTTACGTTTACTGATGCATTATAATGGCCTGTGCTCAAATTTCTCATACACATGGAAGCTCAGCAAGCAAATATGTATCTTTTGTCCAAAATTAGTTTAAAAATCAAGTTTCAATTCCAATAATGGATACAGTTTAATAAATGTAGCATGTTCACACTAAAATAGGCAGCTCCCTTTAATACACTGTTCTATCAAGTCCTTTCAGTTAAGGCCCCATCCAGTAACTACCCTGACATAAAATGTAAGAATGCCAATTTTAGTCATTTTGCAGGATAACCCGAAAAATGAACTATAAAAAAATAGCATGCCTGGCTGGAATAATGCTCTAAATATTTTTCCACAGTTAAATTCCAAACTATGAACATTTTCCCATGCCATTAAATAAATAAAATGAACAGTGAACCATCTTGATAGTGGTGCCAAGGAAGGGAAATGTTGATCAAGGTATTTAATTTAGCTGAGTCTGAGTTTGGTCTAATTTGAATAAAGACATATTGTTTGTTAATATTGCTGTAGATATGTCATATATAAATTATCTCTAATCTTATAAAATCTCTCTAATCCTCAAAGGTGTCTTTGTAAATTGAGCTCTCAGAAAGTTACATTGTTTAAGATTATTTAGCAGGCTACTGAGTGAACTGGAGTTCATTTGTATTCTAGATGCCCCTTCATAGTAGACAAAAACTAAATTTAAGACTAGAACCTTTGAACCAATTGAAAGAGGAGAAAAGGTTTTGGCATGAAGCTACTCCTATTGGCACAGTTTCCTACTACTAAGCCTTTTGAACCAGAATCTTGGACATTAGAAGAGTATGATAGCAGAAAGAACAAAATATTCTCACAACAGAATGCAGTGTTTCCCATAGCTGTGTGCCCTTCTATCCGTTTGTGCTGAATACTACTTCTCTCCATGCAGCTACAAGACCCCATCTACGTGATTTAGCCACTCTCAAGACTCAGGTGAGTTTCACAGAATGACTCCTAAATCACATGATTCAACTGTACATGGCTATCTTTAGATATCTTTAAATATTCTCAATTTAATACATCTAGTGTTTCTAAGCACTTTTCAGCCTAAGCTTTTTCAAAGTGTGAAATGGAATAATCAATATAGTATTTGGCATTATTATCAGAGTCTTTCTGTTTTTTAGATACTTACTCTCTATTCTGATTTTCAGAGTGATTAAACCTCCCTAAATCCCAAACACATTGATATATTACTCTGACTCATATTGACCCCATAGGACAAGGTTGTAAATATTTTTCTTTTCTTTTTCTAGGGCAGTAAATCTCTATGGAAGCAGATTGCCGCATTTTTCTTCTGCAGAGTGGCTAGCGGCGTTTAGTAAGCAGCCAAGTTTTAGCCACTGGGCCACCAGGGCTTCCACAGGGAGATTCAAAAATGAAAAACAAACCCACAGCCACTAAATCAGTTGCAACTCAGAGCAACCCTATATAGGGTTTCTGAGGCTGTGAATCTTTAAGAGATTGGTACTCATTGGGAGTAGAAAGTCTCATCTTTCTATCGCAGAGCAGCAGCTGGTAATTTCAAACTGCTAACCTTATGGTTAGCAAAACCAAGTCATAACCCACTATATTACCTGGGCT